TGTTACCAAAAAAGGAAATTTTGCATAGAAAATCATCAAACATTGCTTTTTTACATAGTAAATTTTTAAATTTTGCTCTATTTTATACATTTATTTGGCCAAATTTATATAAAATTTATACAAACTTAGATCTAGGTTGTATCAGAGTTCTTCGGGGTCCTGTTATTTGTTATCAAAACCGAAATAGAGATATGCTCTCGGAAATAACAATAATATTGTGTTGGGAGAGTAAGCAGTTAAATTTGTGTAGTTTAGTGTTAGCCAGTGTGACAAATAGAAAAGAGCTTTATAGAATCTTAAACTATTTAGCTTCGATCGTAAACAAAATAGTAATTAAGGCCAAATGGTTTTAATCGATAAACTAACAAATATAATTACAGGTTAGAGATTTTTTTCTTTATTAACATAAATCAATATATTAGATTATCACAATATTACTAAATACTATTCTTCTCTTCATAAACTAAACTACACCTTTATATATACAGTAATCAATTTGTATGAGGATTTAAATTGTCCAACTATACTACGAACTATAGCAAATATAAGAAATACATAAAATGATAATAATAAAATAATAGAACACTAAAAAAAATCAAGTGTAATACTGGTGATTTACATTGAGCCTAGATGCTGCACAAAAAATACGCATCTATTCAATGTTATACCTGGATAGTGCAACCGGCCATTATAATGAGCACATAATATTGATATTTCAGTAGTTATATTAAAAAATTCTTCAGGAGGAAAGATTGAGTTAAAAATTGTTGGCAGTCGCAATTGTTGATATAGGTTACAATTGTGTTTCTCATAGGTTTATCTTTCTTTTTACTATCATCACAGCGAGTAAACAATTGTTAATATAGATCACAATTGTGTTTCTTAAATGTTTATCTTCCTTTTCACTGTCATCTCTTGTTGAGTTAGTATTACTGCTTGTGAAAAGTTATTCAAATCATACTTACCTCTTTTAATTATACAAAATTAAACTTCTTCTAGTCAACAGTCAAATCAATATGCTTAGCATCTTTTTGATATATAGACTCCAAGTTAACAAAGTAAATAGTTACAAACTCGAATATCTTTTAGATATGTATTTAATTAAAAATATAATAGTAAATTAGAGGATAAATAGTTATAAAGTTAAGTAGTTTATTCTAATGCTTAAATTAAAAATTCTATTATACTTACCCGAATTCAAACAAACAAAAATAAATTAAATAGTAGGTAGTCATGCACTGGAATAGCTTATTTTAAAATACAGATTGATAAATTTTCTTTATAGCAATGTAAAAAATTATAAAAAAAAAGTAAAATTAAATAGTTAATATATATAGATTTTATTCTAAATATTTAGATCAAAAATATTATACTTATCTAAATTAATGCAAATAATACTCATAAATTCGAGTAGCCTATTGTAAACAATTAGTAAAGTTTTCATGATATTGCCTGAATTAGCATGAATAAAATAAAATTATATAGTAAATAGTTATGAACCCAAATATCATAGATATATAGATTGATAACTTTTCTTGATATCGATATATTAAATTAAAAAAGAAAAAAAAGAAATACAGATAAACCTTCCTAAGTGCACCTTCTCTAAGTGCACACCCTCTCTAAATGCATGCTGTGGTCCGGTCCCAATGTTGAAACTTAGAATCTAAATGCACGCCCTCTGTATTCTGCATGTGCAAGAAATTCCGGGTCTTAGACCTATGTATACACCTTCCGTAAATACACGCATGTGATATCTTCCAATCATAATTGAGGATTTTCACACATTGTTACATATATACCTTCTTTTTAATTTTGAATCATCCAGTTTGAGCTAGCAGTTTAATAGAAATCTACTAAGAGTTGAGTTAATATGAATTGAACCTTTTATCACTATAATCTCACTACAACAATTTGCCAAAGCATTTTTTTAAAAAAAAATCAAATTATGTACTGTGCGCACTTTTATTTTAGCTAGAATCAGATATTTAGGGTTTTAAAAAACTTGGAAATAAATTATTAATGCTTGGATAAGTTAGATTAAATCAATTTTACGACTCTCAAATGTTGATAATGATAATCAAACATTAAAATATAGAACTTTAGAAAAACTTGAATGAGCCAAAAGGATACAATTCATTTAAGGTCCTTAATAGGATTTTCTTTTTGAATATTTAAATATTAACAATTGGTTGCTTTATTTTAAAATAATAACAAAATAATAATGCAAAAATCATGCATATAAAAGAATATTAAAAAAAAAAAATCAAAGATGTCTTCTAAGAAGGTTATGTTAACTGATACCCAAAAGACTGCATTATATATTTATGCTTGTAATAATAAAATGACTCGAGCTAAATACATTGATTGGATAGAAGAACAATGGAGTGTTAGAATTGACAAAAGCACAGTTTCAAGAATTTTGAAAACTAGTAAAAAATGACTTAGTGCTAATGCCTCAAACTCTAATGCAAAACATCATAGAGCTGTTACTGTTCCAGAAGTTGAGCTTGCATTGAAGAAGTTTGTGTTGAATTATCAATATAAGACAATTCTTTTTTTTTTTTATTTTTTTATTTTTTTTATTTATATAATGTCATAGTAGAAACTTTATTACAGTCAGTCCAAAGATTGAAAGTTATCTTATAGTCTACAAAT